GTAGGCCTTGCACGGGTTGTCCTGGCTAGTTGTCGTCCCAGCCGCCTCGTTGACGATCCATTGCTGCTGTTCTGGCGTGCGCGGCGTGTTCCGTGCCTTGACAGCACTCTGGTGCTCCTGTTGTAGCACGGGGGTGAGGGATGGGATAGAAAAGGTAAGGGTGGTAGTTATGTGGGTTCTATCAGGCGACCCACAAACGAGAATGTATTTGAATACGTGCAGATGGCATGTGACCTCACCTTTGCAGCATAGCAGATGCTGCACGGCATCCGCGATCCATGCGAGAGTGTGCAACTGATCTTGCCGCTCTCGGGGTAGTCGCACACCCAGGCGTACAGCAGGGGCCGCACGGTTTGCAAATCACCGAAAGGGTCCCTGAGACGGAACCCGCTGCAAGGAACAGGTAGAGTGGCAACAGGAATTCGGGTTACGGCTTTTAGGGAGGAACGACAAGGGGCAAAGGGCCATGCTACATACAGAGAAGGTTTGCATACCATGCAGGTGGTGAGATGATGTCTTAGCAAGATGCAAACCGAGTACGGACCTGGCGATGCCATCAAGAAGCGGCTGCAGCACGGTGATGACGCAACGCTGGAAGAGCATCACCTTCTCCACGGCAGACATTGCAGAAGGGGGGATAGGAAGAAGGGCAAGTAGTGTGTGCCCGGCTTTCCCCCAACGCTTGGCCTGGGAGATGTTGGCCAGCGTCATCATGAGCGGCCACGCCTTCTTCCGGCCGTTGTTGCTCATGTGCGTCACATCCGAATATAAGGTGATCCCCCCCACAACTTCGGACCAACCGAAGTGTTCCTGCAGTGCACGACAAAGCGGCAACGGACACACGGTTTAACACTCAAGATGGTCTTGACAGATCAGTGCAGCGATGGAGGCATGAGGAAGGTTTGGGTTTGGGGTGGCAACGTGGTCTTTCCTTACCTGAGCATCATTCCACCACGTTCCTGTTTCAGGCGTGGTATAGCGACGGCCGCCTGCGTCAGGGTCCTCATCAACACGCGCCTTGAGCTTGAAGCCGGGCGCGTTGTTGGGATGTCCAAACATTTCAGCGAATGCCTGGTGTACGGTGGCGAAGGCAGGTGAGAGGAGAGGCATGGTTAGTGGCGGTGAAGGTGGGTGTACGGTAAATACAAGGATAACTACGTACATGCAAACCCTGTGTGCCTCATCATCATTTCACGGCCTTGAATGCAAAGTCGGCTTACCTGGGCTGAGTTCTGAAAGAGGAAGCGCTGTGGTGGATGACCGTCAATCTCGAAGGTCGCCACCGACCATCCGCGATTGAGCCCTGCCAAGCGCTCCATCTCGAACCGCTCCAGATCCTTACAGTTCCGGATCTCCGAGATCACAAGAGGCGCAAGGCCGGGCTCTACGACTAGCTGAAGCAGGCCGTTGATGTCAACCTCGGCCATTCCCATTCCGCCATTCACGCGCCGAACGAAATGCAGCAGCTTCAAAGCGAGCGGATTGAGGGGCGTGGCATTGCTCTGTCCGGAGATGATTGTTGGCGGCGCGGCATGACTCCCTTCGGGCCGGCTCTCAGGATGGTCACTCGTGTCAGCCGCAGGAGCTCCTGGTTGTGGTTTATGTTCAACTTCAGGAGGCCCCTCGTTCACGTCGTTGGGAGTTTCGTCAACGTGAGCTTCAGCCACGCGTGGATGACCGCTCACACTGACGGCGTTGGATGCGTTAGACGCTGTAGGTGAACCGGGAGCGGCTGGAGCGTCCGACAGAATGTCGTGGACGAATAGCAGAGCGTGAAGACCGGCGGTCGGTGCAGATCGCGTGGGCCTTGCCACGGCGGATAGTCCTTGGCAAGGGGTCCGCCGTGACTTATGACCGCCATAAACTTGGGCGTTGGGGAACCATCTGTTGCAGAACTCGCAGACGACGCCTGGTAAAGAGCCCATGTGTTACGGATCCGTTGTAGAGTCGATAAATCGCCTATGAAGCTACTAGCCGTGATGAAGCTTGTGAACGCATTAAGTACTCCGTTCAAGAAGCCTGTGACAGCTACACGATCATCGCCAATGTGCGCACTGTGGTGGGCGGCTTGTATCACTGCACGACTGGCACTTGACGTTGGCGCTAATGTTTATGACTGGCTAACGATGTCGAGCCGCGTGGTCGTTACCAGGCACGATACAGACCGCCCACCTCACGGGCCGTCTTTCCTACAAGGCGTGTCGCCCCCGTTTAGAGCGACCACGACGTGAGCAGAGGAGAATGCACTGGATCTTAAGTCTCACGGTCGTGTGTGTGCGTCGCGAGCACGGTGAGAAGTACGTGCCTATTGAGTCAAGAACTTGTGTTTATGAACCGTGCGTAAGAGTCGAGGGGGATGAGGAAGAGCGGGAAGAGATCCGTTTGGATCTGTGATTGTGTCGCGAATCGATATAGGGGGGAAATCGGAATCACGTAGGTGAGTTCAAGAGGCTTCAAACAAACATGGAAATGCAAATGTAGAATTACAACTTAACAAGACACTCAAGTCATTCATAACTAGTAAACATTCATATCCTTAGGACTGATGTTGAACAACCCTTACTTGATAACGATACGGGAAGTACCCAATAACTCCATGCCCTAACGTATGATTGTTGCGTGGTGCAAATACCTATAGCGTGTCTTCTCTCGAGGTGTAGTGTACCTCTACGCACCGTGCTGAATGAATATGCAAGAATGGATGACAATGTCGTACAATAACACAACGGTTTCAATGTCCATGCAATGTTGGATGACAATGCAACACCATACCACAACGGATTCACCATGTTGGCAACCCGCAGGCCTGAACGCTGCATCGTCGCGCAGTCTAACCATGGCTGTCGATAACGCATCTACGCTTGTGCGTTGGGCCTGTGCGACGTACCACTCCTTCTAAGCACCTTGTTTGATGCCTGTCCAAGAATGGATGACAATCCAACACCATACCACAACGGATTCACCATGTCGCGCAACCCGCAGGCCTGAACGCTGCATCGACGCACAGTCTAACCATGGCTGTCGATAACGCATCTACGCTTGTGCGTTGAGCCTGTGCGACGTACCACTCCTTCTAAGCACCTTGTTTGATGTCTGTGCAAGAATGGATGACAATCCAACACCATACCACAACGGATTCACCATGTCGCGCAACCCGCAGGCCTGAACGCAGCATCGTCGCACAGTCTAACCATGGCTGTCGATAACGCATCTACGCTTGTGCGTTGGGCCTGTGCGACGTACCACTCCTTCTAAGCACCTTGTTTGATGTCTGTGCAAGAATGGATGACATTCCAACACCATACCACAACGGATTCACCATGTCGCGCAACCCGCAGGCCTGAACGCAGCATCGTCGCACAGTCTAACCATGGCTGTCGATAACGCATCTACGCTTGTGCGTTGGGCCTGTGCGACGTACCACTCCTTCTAAGCACCTTGTTTGATGTCTGTGCAAGAATGGATGACAATCCAACACCATACCACAACGGATTCACCATGTCGCGCAACCCGCAGGCCTGAAAGCAGCATCGTCGCACAGTCTAACCATGGCTGTCGATAACGCATCTACGCTTGTGCGTTGGGCCTGTGCGACGTACCACTCCTTCTAAGCACCTTGTTTGATGTCTGTGCAAGAATGGATGCCAATGCAACACCATACCACAACGGATTCACCATGTCGCGCAACCCGCAGGCCTGAACGCTGCATCGTCGCACAGTCTAACCATGGCTGTCGATAACGCATCTACGCTTGTGCGTTATGCCTGTGCTTCATACCACTCCTTCTAAGAAACTTGTTTAATGTCTTTGCATGAATGGATGCCAATGCAACACCATACCACAACGGATTCACGTTTGGTACTATTGATAATCGTGTTAGAATGTCGTCCGCTGGCCCTAAACCATTGTGGCAAAGCCTAAAAGTGCACAGTACATCTGTCACAAGTAATAATTCTGGACGGTCGTTGTGTGTGTGACGTAAGAATCACCGATTAACTTACCCCAACCCCGTAGTAAACCATTTGCAACTTAGAGTTAGATGAAATGCATTGTTGTATGTTTGAAAAAAAAATAGCTTCTACGTGTAACACTGTGCGGTCTCGAAAACACTGTACTTTGCAGGGATTTGACTAATTTCGCACTGTAGGTTTCACACCGGTTTTACCCTTTGTAGTGATTGATGCGTTGGCAACCGTGATTGGCCGACGCATCTCAAACGATTCCCCCCGCAACACAGTCATCAGCCAAGAGGTACTTCAGCCATTGAGCGGCTGAGATCGAGCGGTAGGTGGGTTTATGCTAGGGTGGCTACACGTACACCGTCCAATGTAGCCTGATAGGGTTACATTACTCTCTCTAGTCTCGCAACCCACCCCAACCACCCTCGTGCCCCACCCACCTGCTTCCGTCACTCCCTGGGCCAACACTTTGACGCTGCTCGTTGCCTTGACACACGCCTCTCCAGATCGGCCTTAGCGCGAAGCATAGTGGCTACTATGACAGATTTAGTTGAAGCGGCGGTTTTCGGAAACACATAACAGTGATAGACCGTCGATAATCCCATCGTGGGATTCAGTTGCAGAACCCTTTCGAAACCGGCTCAACCCTTCCGCGCGATTTCCAACTTTGCTCCTCCTACAATTACCATGACACGTGCAACACGTAACCAAGCAATGGAGGAGGAACAGGCCGGCCGCCGCGCTACAAGGAGGACGTCTAAACAAATCGGCGGCGCTAAAAAAACTAATGCGTCCGTCGCTCGTGGCATTGGGCAGAAAAAAGCGGCGGCAAAAAAGGTCGCGCGCGGTCGACAGGAGGCTGGCAAGAAAGCGGAAGACAAGGGGCCTAATCCAACGCCACGCAAGCGTGTTTCTACAGTGAACAAAGATGCGGATGTTACCCCTGCTGGAACCGAGCCCGGCCCGAGTAAAGACGGCACCACTGGCGGCAACGAAGATCCGGGGCGAGGGAGCGCGAGTCTTGCACTCCCGTCGGCGGAGATGGAGGGATCGGCGACGGAGGGAAATCACGGAGGCGATCCCCGCGCCGAGCATGCCGCAACGAAGGAGTCCGAGGCGGCGGCAACGCAACACCATTTGACGCTGCTCCAGCCGACCGTGGTCGAAGTTTCTCCAGCCGTGCTGGATAAGGACAAGGTGGGGGAGCACGAGTCGGTGGGGCTGGTCGGTGGCTCTCCACCTTCTGGTGGACGGGGGAGGCGTAGGCAGAGGAAGAGCGATGGGGAGGACGATTATGACACCGCCGTGCCCGGGGACCTCATTACGCGGGCGAAGAGGCGGCAGACGATAGGTAGTGCTGACGACGCCGGAGGTGCGGCAGTTGGGACACCGCGAGGCGCCAAGGAAGCTAATGGCAAGGCGGGCGGTCAAGCATTGCGCCAAAAGGGCCGACCCGCAGCAAGAAAAGCATCCGGCGGAAGGAGAGGCAAGAAAGCAGCGACGGGAACAAAGCCGAAACGGGGCGATGAATACCCCGGTGATGCGGAGGAGGAGGAGGAGGATGAGGAGGAGGATGCGGAGGGAGAGGAGGATGAAGAGGAAGCGGAGGAGGATGACGCGGATGTTAGGGAGGATGAAAAAGATGAGAATGATGGCGGGGAGGACGAAGAGGAGGAGGAGGAGGAGGAGGAGGAGGAGGAGGAGGAGGAGGAGGAGGAGGAGGCAGAGGAGGAGGAGGAGGAGGAGGAGGAGGAGGAGGAGGAGGAGGAGGAGGAGGAGGAGGAGGAGCAGGGTGACGACGAGGACGAGGATGTGGAGGAGGAGGAGGAGGAGGAGGCAGCAGAGGAGGAGGAGGAGGAGGATGTGGCGCCAGTGAAGGGACGGGGCGGGCGTGGCAGACGGGTGAGTGGTGCAGGGAAGGAGGGGGGCCGGACTCGCTCCCGAAAACGCGGGGCAGTTGGCGCTGCGCGCGGCGAAGCAGCGGGCAAACCGAAGGCGCGTAAGGTGAAGGTCGAAAGTGAAGGGGTTGGTAAAAAGCAAGGGCGCCAGGGAGCAAAAGGGGATGGAGGAGGAAAGGGTGGCCGCGCCAAAGGGGTTCCAGTGGGTACCAGCAAGAAAGAACCTGCCGGTAAACGTCGCAGCGTCCGCCAAAGCACCCCGCGGAAAGGTGGCAGCGAGAAGGCGCAGGCTGCCCCAAAACCGAAGGGACAGCAGAAAGGTGAGCATTGTGTCCAATAAAACTGGCGTGACGTGTTGAACCATCTGCTAAACCGTGCCTAAAAACACCCTTTTTTCACATTTTTTCTCCCATGCAGGGAAGGAGAAGGTCGACGAATCTGCCAAGCAAGGTAAACCCTCTTGTCTCAAACCTGTACAACCCTGAACCAGATCTAGATTCAAACCTTTCTGAATATGCATGCATGTCTGGCCCCGCCTTGAAACCGATCGACTCTAATTTTTTTTTCCGGCTCCCTCTACATCTCAGCCCCTCGCGTTACAGGCATTGGGCCGCCCGTAAGCGTGCAACGAATGCATCTAACGAAGGCTGCCGGAAGAGCGAGTGTTACACCGCTCTCCTCCGGAGCACCAAGGTACTACACGCCATGGGCCGGCCCGAGCAAAGTCGCTGCGACGGCACCAGGCGCGCCAAGAGGAGAGGAATCCGAATCCCCTCCACCCGCCCCCGTCACGCAGTCCCCACTCGCCTCACCCTCGTACCAATTTCGGCAACTCCACGCTTCTGCTGTCCGGGGCAGGGCGGTCTCCCCTCTCGCCGATCCTTCGCGCGGGCATCAGGCAGGCAGTTATGCCAATCCCTTCCCTGAGCTCCCCTTTTCCCGCCAGCGTGACAGTGTGAGGGCACACGGGACTGCTGCAGAAGACGTTGATCCCCTTGGCCAGAGGGGGGATTCTTCACACCCTTTTCCTCCGCTCATGGGTGCCCTAGGTGAAAGTGCGGAGCACGAGCAGTTTGTTACACGGGAGGAGTTCCAGGCGCTGCGGTCTGAGATGTACGCCATGTTTGCACAGCTCGGCCTGCGTCGTGGAGTACCTGCCAGCTATGCCGGCGGGTCGGCAGCCCTGCCTATGGCTGGTACCCCGCCGCCGATGAGCGCCGTGGACAAGGCACGAGTGCTAGTGTTGCAGGAGACAAACCCATTCCCGATATGTGGCGGGCCACATGGGGCGGGTTGGGGTTGACGTGGCAACAAGGGCGGGGTAGGGGCTGACGTGGCGGTTTCGAAGGGAACACGGGAGCGACGCGTGACGAGGCGACGCGTATCAGGTGGGTGGGGGATGACGTGGCATGGGGTGGGTGGGTGTGACGTGGCAAGTGGCGCGGGTTGTTGGTAGACGTGGCGGATGCGGGTTGGGTGTGACGTGGCAAAAGGTGAGGGTTGGGATATGACGTGGCGGTGTGAAAGGTGCAAGGGAGTGCCGCATGACGGCGCGAGGCGTTTCAGGTGGGTGGGGGGTGACGTGGCTTTTGGTGGGGGGTGTGACGTGGCAAGTAGGGCGGGTTGTTGGCGGATGCAAAAGTGTGTGACGTGGCAGAATGTGAGGGTTGGGGCTGACGTGGCGGTTTGGAATGGTACACGGGAGCGGCGCGTGACGAGGCGACGCGTATCAGGTGGGTGGGGGGTGACGTGGCATGGGGTGGGTGGGTGTGACGTGGCAAGTGGCGCGGGTTGTTGGTAGACGTGGCGGATGCGGGTTGGGTGTGACGTGGCAAAAGGTGAGGGTTGGGATATGACGTGGCGGTGTGAAAGGTGCAAGGGAGTGCCGCATGACGGCGCGAGGCGTTTCAGGTGGGTGGGGGGTGACGTGGCTCTTGGTGGGGGGTGTGACGTGGCAAGTAGGGCGGGTTGTTGGCAGATGCAAAAGTGTGTGACGTGGCAGAATGTGAGGGTTGGGGCTGACGTGGCGGTTTGGAATGGTACACGGGAGCGGCGCGTGACGAGGCGACGCGTGTCAGGTCGGTGGGGGGTGACGTGGCATGGGGTGGGAGGGTGTGACGTGGCACGTGGGGCTGGTTGTTGGTGGACGTGGCGGATGCACCCGGGTGTGACGTGGCACGTGGGGCTGGTTGGTGGACGTGGCGGATGCAGGAGGGTGTGACGTGGCGGAAGGTGAGGGTTGGGGATGACGTGGCGGATGCAGGTGGGTGTGACGTGGCAGAAGGTGAGGGTTGGGGATGACGTGGCACCCTAAAAGGGTACACGTGAGCGGCGCATGACGAAGCGAGGAGTCTCAGGTGGGTGGGGGACCACGTCGCTCTTGGTGGGGGTGTGACGTGGCAAGTAGGGCGGGTTGTTGGCGGATGCAAAAGGGTGTGACGTGGCGGCATGTGAGGTTTGGGGATGACGTGGAGGTTTGGAATGGTACACAGGAGCGGCCACTGACGAGGCGACGCGTGTCAGGTGGGTGGGGGGTGACGTGGCATGGGGTGGGAGGGTGTGACGTGGCACGTGGGGCTGGTTGTTGGTGGACGTGGCGGATGCAGGAGGGTGTGACGTGGCACGTGGGGCTGGTTGGTGGACGTGGCGGACAAGGAGGGTGTGACGTGGCGGAAGGTGAGGGTTGGGGATGACGTGGCGGATGCAGGTGGGTGTGACGTGGCGGAAGGTGAGGGTTGGGGATGACGTTGCGGTTAGAAATGGTACACGTGACCACTGCGCATGACGAAGCGAGGCGTGTCAGGTGGGTGGGGGGTGACGTTGCTTGTGGTAGGGGGGTGTGACGTGGCAAGTGGGCCGGGTTGTTTTTGGACGTGTCGGATGGCGCAGGGTGTGACGTGGCAAGTTCACACAGTGTTGCTAGTCACCATCCCATGGTCACGCGGCCACCCTCATAACTGCTGGTTTCTCTCTCCCATGTCGTGTTGTATACCTTACACCCCTGCGCAGAACAAAGCCTACTTAGTCTGCTCTCAGCTCATGTTTCTGAACCCGCCGGAGAAAATACAGTACTACCCTGCACCGGAGGAAGTGTTCGAAGCGTTCTCAGTCCACTTGTCTGCAGAAGGGCTCGAGGCAATGAAGCTGCTATGGTTGCACAATGACAAGTCAACCATGGGAGTCTTCAACCACCAGCTGTCCTCAACAAGGTCAACTATCAACTCCACCCTCAGGCCAGCAGCATACACCGGCATGGGCCTTGCCGATTACAGCCATCTCGTGGATAGCCTGCCCATTGAGCTACACCCAACGACCTGGTTCGACGACGATCAACTCCTAGCCGAGTACAGAGATGGTATGTGCAGTGCAACTCGAAAACACAATATGCCCTACCATATGCCAGTTGGCAGCTACATATCACCGTGCGATGTGGCTCACCCTGACTCTCATCCCCCCATTTGATTTCTCTACAAAACCCTTTCCAACCCATACCCTCCCTGCCAAAAAGCAGAACAGTGGGCCCTCAACTGGCACTTTGACAAGGCCACCGGGACACCCTTCAGCAACCCCTTGTTCGCTTATGCGTTCAAGCTCTCCTTCAAGAGGGGCGGGGCGGTGTTCACCAAGTTCAAGAGCCGCATGGTGGCATGGGGCCTGTTTTCGGTAAGGATGTAGATATGTGTTTGTACCCCCATGCCTCATCCCCTTAACCCCTTGCCTGTACTTCAGCTAAAACCCTGGTCGATTAGGCCTTTGCAGTTACGTAGATAGTGACGACTGCAGCACCGCTTTCAGTTGCCTCATTTACCCGTAACCTACCCTCCTCATAAACCATCCACCCAACCCTACACCACATTGCAGATCGAATGGCCCCTTCTGCAGGATAAGCGTCGCAAGCGAATCAGTAGCCAGCCGGAGCAGAACAGGCCAGACTACCAGGAGTGGTGCGAAAAGGTCAAACAGATGATCCATTTTGCTGTCGTGGAGCGGAGGATCCCCCACGATCCGGCTATGGGTGCGTTCGTCTTTCCGAACAAGTTCCTCATCGACGACGGCGACCTTGGAGATGTCGTCCTTGCCCACCGGGCGCTTTCAAGGCCCGCCAGTGCGTAGGCTATTTGACCTGGTGCTAAGACTGCTTGTTGCTAGAATGCTGAATAATGGTTCTTGTAAACCGCAATAATAAATACAATTTTGAAATCCTCAATATCCAAAATGAACAAAAACAGAATTTAGTTTTGAATAATTTGGTCACGAATTTGCAACAAAACGGATTGCGCCCGAATGTCATCCGGAAAAGCTCGCGTGCCAAACTGGAACTTGAACCGAGCCAAACCAAGTCGCGAGATGTGTCTCGGAGCTCCTATCAAATGACTCCAACCGTCGGTCCAAATTGGCTCCGGATTTTTTTACGCGAAGACAATCGAAATCAAAATTCGTCCAAACTTGGCATAGGGTTTTTGTGATGTATGTAAACTTTCCCTATAGTCAGCAGGGTCCATCTCCAGATACAAAGGCCCTTCGACGTTATCAAAATCATGGGTTACAAGAGAGCGGAGAAACATGCAGGTGTATATATCACAGTCTTCACTGCCAAGTGGCTGCTGTGGGATCTCCCAAGTCTGCAATAGCACCCTAAACCCTGTTTGCGCGATTTCTGCATGTTCGTGACAGAGCTCACAAATGCATGTTCTGAATCACAAACCAAGATTGTTCATGTGTTTTGCACGTGTCGTTCCGACGGGCCTGTTGTTCATTATCAAGTGATCCATTGTGTTTGATTTTCGACCAATGGCTAGTCAGTTCTGTTCGCCGACTCGGATAAACTTGAATGTTCGATCGTGATCACCGCTATTTTTTAGCGGTACCGACTCGATGTGCTCAATCTCACCTCACAAACCCTCTTCTGACTGGCTAGAGTACGCGCAATGATCAAAACGATAAAAAACACGTAGCGCGATCAGGTTCCAAACAGAGATCATGAACTCTCAGGTTCCGAACAGCGATCACTAAAGACAGCGACGCACAGCGATCAAAACGTCGCACAACAATCAAAACGTTAAAAAATAGGCAGCGCGATCAGGTTCCGAACAGCGATCAGGTTCCGAACATCGATCACTAAAGACAGCGACGCACCCTTAAACCAACTTTAATACTCTATGCTCTGAAAGCCAAGTTCTAAACCATTAGGAAGCAAAAGCAACGGTCAAACGTAAGACAAAGTTGCATGCATGTAAATATGTTGGCTAAACATATTAAAAACACGGATAGGGTATGAGCTTCTGCATTTTGGCATTTCACCTGTGACCTACACACACGCACACAAGTACGGGCATTAGTATTAGTGTCGTTGATGTTTCGAAAGGCAACTCCCAAATATTGTACCTCAGTTATAGTGCTGATGCTCGTCCGTGTATTGCTTGTGACCACCCTGGGCATGCGATAGGCCCATACCTGGAGGTTGAGTGGCCAGGCTGCTGCTTGGCAGTGCTTGAT